TCTCTTACAGATGGCTCCCCTGGTTTGGTCCAAAGGGCGCCTGGGTAACCAGTGCCAACCGCACCCAAGGGCTTCATTCAGGGAAATGTTTCCTGGGAGACTGAGTTCACTGGTCTGCTCTTGAGGCCCCATTTAAGGGTCAGATCCTGGGCTCTCCAACTGGACCACTATGCTGCAGTTCCTGCCCAGCCTGCCTCCAATCCATGAAGCCGGGAGTCTCTGCCACTCTCTGGACCCTTGCGGTTGTGTTCTATCCAGTCAATCAGGCACGTTAAAACAAATAAGAATACAAATATGTTACATATCAGAAAGGTTATAAATGAGATAAGGCCATTCTGCCCATCTAGCCCCTTTGGTAGTTAATTGGTCCAAGGATCTCATCCAGCAGTGTTTTGAAAGAATCTGGGATGTTGTCTTCAACATGGCTGGATAGCTTGTTCCATACTCCCACAACCCTTTAGATAAAGTAGTGCCACCTATGCTACATGTTAATCACATTCATTGTAAAGACTTTATACCTGGCAGGTTAGATAATGTGGGACTTAATGTGATCGTCGGTTGTTCAGTTCCGTTCAGTTGTTTTCACATGAAATATTTAATATTCACATTACTATATAATCGTTACACAGTAATTATAAAATGTTTTTGACACATACATTTGTACAAATGCTTTTAGCCATAGCTTTTAGAACCTGGAGAGGGAGAAATACCCCCAGCACTTTCTAACATAGAAAGAGGACAAGACATAAGAAGAGAAGATAAGAAAACTGCACAGCACAGTTTAATGCTATTTTGAAAGCTTACCGCTTAAAATACTTCCAGCGATTTACTCCTGAAACATCACAATTATCCTGTCTATTATCTTGGATTTTAACAGATGTATGATACCTGAAAGAAAAACAGAAAGACCTTGACATGCACAAGGCTGGGAAATAATTTCTGACAATTGCCATTTGTGTTTTTTTTAAGTCCTATTGATCTAGGGCTGATTTTGAGCTCTTACAGGATATGCTATGCAAATATGAAACTTTAGTAAGTTTTCAATCAATAAATAGATGAAAGAAAATAATCTTGATAAGATTATGGTGATCTGTTTGTGTTGGTTTGAG